AATCACTATGCTTTAATTATGTTCAATTTGTAACAATGAAAATACATCCTGCATATCAGATATTTACATTACGACTCATAACAGTAGCCAAATTACAGTTATGAAGTAGCAACGAAATTAATTTTATGGTTGGGGGTCACCACAACATGAGAAACTGTATTAAAGGGTCGCGGCGTTAGGAAGGTTGAGAACCACTGTCTAAAAGTGTCTGTGCGTGCTTCTGTGGGTTGCTTTTTGTGTGATTTTGGGACGTCCCGTTGGCATATTTTGAAGCGCACAATGGCATGCTGTTCCTGTGGGCGCTACATTTACAGCGACTGCGACAACCTACCCATCCCGCCAGCCGAAGCTTTATGCCCTCGGAGCCGCAGGTCCCACCCCCAAGGCCCGGCCCGGCAGCCCCGTGCCATTCTCCGCGTCTAGGAACCAGCTGGCCCGGGATCCCTCACGCAGGCGGCCTCCTGCGGCTGTGCCCTTGGTGACGGGCTTGTCTCACTCAGCAGTGTCCTCCACTCCAGCCGCGGTGCTTCCCTTTTTCAGGCTGAAGAGCGTGCGCTCAGTGTCTGCTGCGTCCTGTTAGTGTGTTCATCGGCGGACGGACATTCGTTTCCTCGGGGCAAACTTTAAAAGCACGTGTGATGGAGCCCGGCCCAGGCCACGGCAGGGCAGGGGTCTGTGTTGTGTCCTCGACCAGCCTGGGCCTCTACCCGAGCGGGCGGCTGGGGCTGACAATCAGGGGGGTCTCTTGAGGCTTCTCAGCGGACGTTCGTCGGGGGCAGTGGGTCTCGGTCAGGGGGGCTCCCCCAGCGCAGGGGAGGTTTGATAATGTCCAGAGGCATTTTGGGTTGTGACAGTTTGGGGGACTGACCTGATGTGCCGTCAGGTAACCAGGGTTGGACGCCGCCGGTGGCGAGGGCCACCAAGGTCGCCCATTTGCAGAACCTGGATCTCTGCTGGTCCCCAAATGCCGCCCCCCCCCCCCCAATTACAAACAGCGTGTGAGGGCTCCTACCCCTGCACATACTGACAGGTGTCCAACATCCAAGTAGCTGTAACGAACCCGTGTTTGCGTGCTCGCCGCTGTCACTGCTGGGAGCTGGGCCCCACCCTGGGACTCCCGGGAAGCAGCGCCTGGGCGCCTCGCGGACCTGCGGATGGAAGGCCACGGGCACTCAGATGCGTGTGCGTCTCCCGGGCCTTGAATGGGAGTTGGCATCTCCTGATTGATGGTGGAGCCCTTTCTGAGGACAGGCGCGGGCGGGGGGCAGCCAGGCTCCCCATCCGTTTGCCGAGAGCTGACGGTTCCTAACAGTGCGACCAGCCGGGGAACGTCTCTGTGTTTGGTCACTGCCACTTGGCCACGCCGCTCGAGGCTTCTCAAAGCTTCCATCATTTTCATCTCTCCTTCCTACTCATCTTTCTGTTGTTCTGTTTTCGCATTGAGCTAGCGGTGCTCAATTCTGGCTGAATGGACGAATCAGGGCGAACCTTTATTTATTTTTTCATGTACAAACATTTCCCATGTTTAACCTATGCATGTTGATGAGTTTGGGCCGTACACACACAGATG